CTCAGTAAATAGTTCAGACTGGTCAGTTTTCAATTGGTGGTATCAGTACACACCTGAATGCCACAGTATTAATTTTAATTCTCTTTCCCCCCACCCTCAAGTCAGAGTCTAATGTCAGTGAAAATCTACAAACTCCACTTACTACCACTAAGAAGCTGCCATGTAAATTCAGTGCAGAACTGCCACCGCACCACACCTACCCATGCAAGAGTCCCTAGTTGATACTAATCCCCTCTGTACTGTGCTATTCCACTGAAAACACCTACGTGGAAAGCTAGTCCAGAACACGCGTGACACTAGCCATCCTCCCTTTACCACCCTCACCCTGCAGCTCCCATGTTCTGCACTTAAGCAGACGTGGTTGATGAGCACAACTGGAAAGGCAATGGAAGGTGTTTTTTTTAATACCCAATACTAAATAAAACGCTACACACACCCCGGCCCCCCATCCCTCTGCCTTTCCATCAGTCTCTGGATGAAGTGCCCGTAATGCCATCTGTGCCCAACTGTTAACAGCTGCTGAAGACAAGCAGCAGCTGGGCGCTCAGCACAGAGGAATACGAGGCCTGTGCATCTCAATACACACCCAGTAAGCCCCTGCACTAGCCAAGTTTACCATTTCAGTAACCACAGAGGGTATTTCCTAGATCAGAAGCTTCTAAGATGCTCTCTACCAACTCTAAAAGAAAAACTCTCTTTAGATCAAATTGTAACATGGCCTCTGGGTCTACTTATCATTATTTGATTAAAATCAACTATTTAAAATTCACCTTGCTTTTTACTTGAAATTTTATTCAGTTGAAGTCATGAAAGCTCCAAGACTTGAATTAATACCACCTGCACTTACCAAAGCAGCATCAAAACATCAGCGAACATAAAATTGAGTGAGACAACACACCACTTCGGAGATTAAAGAGCCTCAAACTTGCAAGAAAAATCAAAATCAGATGTTCTCCTTTAAGTCAGGCATCATGAATCAAAGTACGGTGCAGATACTTACAGAATGAAACAACATACAGTGTCCTATTCGGGATTGGATATCCTCAGGTCCAGCATTACAGGAATCCTCTCTCAAAAGTTTCCACGTCTGACATTGGCAGTCAAAAGCAAACAATCCACTGAACTGCGGTTCACTGGCTCTGCTGTCATCAACACTGCCGTTGCAGGTCAGAATTCTGCCTCCAAAGGTATATATCATGTGTTTTTCAGAATCCATACACATCTGTAAGAATGAGAGAAGGAGTTTTAAGCCAGCACATTAAGACTTGAACATGCTAAGATTTAAGATTAAACATCCCTCCCCTGCAAGTGATACCTAGTAAGACAGTGCTCTGCACATCTCCTGAACCTCTAATGAACAGAAACGAATACATGTGTCTTCACGGTTGGCAGGTATTAATCTCAGAAAACAGTCCTTTCTTTAAAATCTGAGTCTAATTTTAACTTGCTTATTTAATAAGAAAAAAAAAAAAAGAGCCTACATGTACCCTTCACCATGTAAAAAACTTGCCTCTAGCTGCTGATTTTAGGAAAAACATTTTAGAGTTTTTCCACCAGGATCCGTAGCCAATTCTGTCAAAGTTAACAGAATATCACCTTTGACAATGGCTATGCAAGGGAAAAATTCAAGATCACTGCTAATTTACTGACCGCCACTCAAGCAATCCAAAACCAGCCTGTGATTTGTTACTCGGATTCCATCCCAAGCATATATTTACTGTTATCCCCATTACTTCAACATAAAGCAGGGCCACAACCTGGCCAGTGATTTTTGATGAGGCTGCAGCAGAAATATGTTTATCCCCAAAGCCTCAATTCAGGTTATGGCACAAGAGATGCATCGCAGTACAAATCAAAACTCCCTGACTCCAGGTGATGTTTTCAGACACAGTGCAACGCAGAGGGTTACAAAACACCGGAGGGGAAAAAAAACAGACAAGATTACAGTAAGATAGAGATGCTGCTCAGCAAAGCCTACACAAAACACTTCTAGTGTAGCACATTTTTGTGAAGGTTAAACAAAAACCGCTATCGCAGTAGGTACTGAGGGAGAGAAGAGAAAGCTACAGATTGGTAAAGAATTCAGGGAGGACATTCTTTCCTAAGAGACAGCAGGGGAAAAAAGAAACAATTTCAGAAGCGGGCAAACAAGGTACCCAGAGTAGCCTTGCCAGCTGACAATTTACTTTTGCCTTTTCCCCAACACCTGGGAGACTGGTATTCGTTATTAATAGAACAGAAAGACTGACTGGCTTTTGTTCTGCAGACAACATGTATCTTTAATTTTCGGTATCAGCAGAAACACATATTGTGCTGGCAAACAACAACTTTAGTTACAAAACAGCTAGTACCAATAAAAGCAGTTCTTGGGCTGCTTTAAAAATGAGTGCTGATGTGCTGTTTCTTGGCCACACTTTATAAAAAGCAATTAAGAACAAAATACCTTTTTCAAGTACACAAAAGCCATTAAACACACAACATACATTAAAAAGCATTCCGTTTGAACACATGGACAGGTGCGGCTTTTTAAAAGATTAGTAGCCACTCCTCTAAGGTGTTTCAATCTCTACAAAGCAAGCACATTCTGCAATTTTTAAGAGAACCAATTTTGAAAGAATCCTGATCCTGTTGGCCTCATTTCAGCAGCTTGTTTATAGTGTTCTTCTGAAGGTACCATACACAGCTTTGCAAGTTGTTCCCCAACACCCTCTGAGTAGGCAGATCTGCAAACCCAGCTCAACAAGACTGATTAAAAACAGATGAACTGTGCTTTGAGCTTTAATAAAATGTGTTTTAATAAAATGAATCCATTTGCAAAGCTTTTTATGATTCTTCTGGCTCGATTTGATTAGAATACCAGTAGTCAGTGGCATTAGATAAAAACGCTGTTAGAATTTAACTGAGCGCAGATCACAGCCTTCCTCATCACCGCTATGTTACCTAGTACAGCACTTCTGCGTCACAGGAGTGTGTACCACGACAGGAGGCTACGACCAAAATTGATTTGCAAACATTGAGAACTTGCACTAAGAGTATCAGTGTAGCTGACCTGATGATCAAACACCAGCTTTGGACCTCCATCCGCTGCAGTGTCTTCACTTAGTAACATCCATGTGTTTGTGTCAATGTCATAGCGATAGAAGTCACTTTTCAGAGATTTGCTGTTCCTCACGGAGGAATCCAGATAGCGTCCCAGTGTGTAGATCTGCCTTCGTTGAATGTCAATGCACATCTTGTGACAAGATCTGGCGCTAGGACCACTCTAATAAAGAAAATTACCACAAAAACAAAGAGAACAATACATTTAATATTGCTCCACGTAGGTCATTGCACACTCACTAAAGACGAGTAAGTACTATCAGCAACTGGAAATCCTTTGAGAATTCGAGAAAATGTGCCTATAATTGGACAAATACAGGATTAATATAGAAATAGCTATATAACAGGACATTCCATGACTTCTTTGTCCTTTAAAAAGTCACCAGCAAAAACCTTAACATATTTTTTACAACAAACTTATGACTTGAAGCCTTTTCATAAGATTCCTGAGAAAACAGACTGTTTCCTCCAGAACTGATTCTGAGGCATGTGAAAGCTACTTGATCTTTTAAAATAACAGAAGTTGATGCACATGAGAGGCAAATTAAGATGTCACAGGCTATAAATAACTACACAGGAAGATTAAGAAGTGCTCTATTACAAGAGCCTCTGTTTTATTGATAGGCTGTTTTCTAACAGATCATAACCAGACACTCCCACAAGCAATCGTATCCCGTAATGGGTCTTTGAAGGTAACAAAAGCACTCCCTTGTCCTTCACAAATAGATATGGCCATTCCAGTCTCCAGCTACAAGAAAGTTTCCCACGGTAAGCAAAACTGCCGTGGGTTATGATCTTCAAGAGAAACACAGAGGGCCCCTGTCAAATTATTACGTGCTTATGCATCCAGGAGTCCTCACTTAAATCATAGAGTAATTTATTCAATGACATTACTACGATGCTATGCGGTACTGGGCAGTATACTTTCTGCTTCCCAAATCCAATTTTGAGAGCTTTCGTACACTCTCATCTTGAAACAAGAGTGATATTCCTGTACTCCAAAATTCTAGAAATCAAGATGTGCAAAGCCTTATTTGCAAAAGATCAGACAAAAGAAAAAAAACTGGCATCATGCTTATAGATAAATTATATAGTTTATTTGGCCTTAGTTTGTATAATTTTGGCACTTTATAAATGAGGATGCCAGAACAAGGCTGGCTAGCTAACTTTGAGAGTCTGGAAACCAATATGAAAACTGGCAAGATTTCAAGTGATAAAAAAAGGTAAGATGTACAGAAGACTGACGTATGAAAGAAAAAACCCTATTCAAATCTAGTGAAAAATAAAGATTATACAATTAGGCAAAGATGTAACAAATCACCATTTATTAGAAGCCTTACAGTTAAAGAAAAGTAGTCATGCCACACCAATTAATCAGCACAATATTTGCTCCATGTGCTATCAAATACCACCTTTACAGAAAACAAGTCTTCCTAATTGTACCATTTCATCTAACAAATTATACTGAAATTATTACTGAAACTTAAAATACACTGATGGAATACATTTCACTAAGCTGGATAAAATATGAAAGAAAACATTACATTTTTGTAGTCAAAACTTTACTACTCATGTTATAGAATTCAGTTTCTTGATTAAAGAACAGTTACAGGAAACTTTACAGTAACTCAAACGACAATCTGAAGAGGTGAACCAAATCGTTCATATTTTGTAAATATGAAGCATTGTGTCAGCAACGATTACAGCTTCAAGGATTAGTTACTCCATGGTAATTAAGATAATTTTCCTTTCTGAAAAAAATACTGATAGAAGTGAAACATTAGCATAAAATCCTGAAATGCAGCAAAAGTTCATGCATTGCCTTTGGTCACACGGAAGAAGCTGACAGAGACGACGGCAACATAATTTATCTTCTTCCTAGAAAATACAAATCAGCATCTTCCAAAGGACCCTGTTCCAAACGGAAAGGGTAGTTTCTTTGCGTGAAAAGTACCAACTTGAGTATTCACAAAGGTTGCCCCTGATTCATAAGAAAGTAACCCCAGTAGACAAAAATCGATCTCTAGTTGGGCAGCTGGGACACTTAAGGATATGCCACTGTTCCCCTGCCAAAGAGCATGTATTTGCCTTGGCACAGCCGCCAGGTAGATGAAACATTAAGATCTACCTGTGCTTTCTGACTCTGCCCTCTTTGTCAGGTCATTGCAGTTTTTCAATTGAACCTGCTGATTTAAGAGTCTTCCCCCACTTTCCCACCTCTATATGCTCTATGGGCTAAAGTAAATCCTACTAAATTCGCTCAAATAACATCTTTGGCACTTTCAGGAATAAATCTCCAATTACCAATTTCCAGACCTGCCCTGCCTTGAAGAAAAGCCGCATCTTCAACTGAAATTCGTCTAAGTACAGACATGAGTAAGACACTTAGCACCTACAATACCAGTTTCAAGCCATTGGAATCAACAGCACAGATACTACACTGGCTAAGTATACAACATACAAATTTCAACTCCTAAGACTACGTTAAAAGGAGAAAAGCATTCGGGAAGAAGAAATCTTCATTCTTGAGTTATGTATTGGTCACATCTCACACAGTATTATCTGCCTTTTTAAGGAGCAACTAAAGGTTTTAAGTTTGACCATTTCATCTATACAGGCACAGAAACTTCATCACCTCAAGTTCACTTAAGAACTTTAATTTCACCAACTTGCAGAACCTGCCATAGCATGAACTAACTCTTGTAATAAAGAAAATTTCATCCAATTCATAATCTTTTCTCAAAGAAAACTGGAGTTATTCCTGCATATCACTTACAAGATCACATCGAACCTGCCAAAAGTTTCCAATTTAGTCTATGTGTTTACCAATGAGTAAATAACTCCATTAAACAGTGTTACACATTGGTTTGACATTTGAGGTAGAAGAGGGGAAAGGCCTAAATCTGTGTTCACTTGAGGGCTACTCAATTTGACTACAGAAGTCCTTGTAGTATGTACATACTTCAAAGGGGGGCACAAAGTCCATTTACAAAGACAGATATGGGCAGACACTGAAAATGAATAAAACACTTCAAGGCACATGTGGTTAAGTGAATCAAGGGCGCGTGGGCGGTTGCGAATGTTCATCCAAAGATGTGTACTCCATGCAGTTACAATAGCAAGCCTGTTGTTCAGACAAAGAACACACTGCCACAACTTGTCATGGAGAAAATGACCCACCAAATTCAAACAGGAGTTTGTTGATTCCAGAAGCATTCAAAGAACTTGACCTCTTATAAGCAACAAGTAAGAAGAGTTGACCATAATAGACATGACTCTTTTTAACCTACAGTTGAAGAGATCAAGTATGGTTAGAGAACAGGAGAACAACCTTTTGTCCCCTCCTGCTAGGATATAGGCTGCTTGATGATCCATGAGTTAGCTTCCTAAGGTGAGTGGATTTCACTAGAGATCTCTATACAGTTACTCAAATCTGGGCCTTATCACCAAAGATAAACTGCAGACATACAAAAAGTATCTATTGTATTTGCTACTCCTCTAAACATACTAACTGCCATTCCCAAACATGTCTGCAGCTAATAAAGAGTTTTACCTGCACAGTGATAACCACAAGAGAAGATGAAACAAGCCCAAGCCTTCTTGAGTAGAGCAGAAGGCAAATAACAGTTTGACCAGTTTGCATTCATCATCTCCTGTGAGTTATCTGAACTCATAACAAATCAGTGCAAGACTTCTCATTAAGTATTTGTTCTTTAGATCTAGTTTCATTGAACTGTCCTCAAAGTTGTTAGCATGCGAGATCTACATCTTTGCAGACGAAGCTTCAAGAACTGATTGACTGATTTAGTAGAGGTATTACTTCCTAAACAGAGCGCATCTTAGTTAAAACAGACTCTAGTAAGTCACATCCAGCAACCGCCCAAACAATCTGAACAAACATCAGCTTTGGGGACTCTTTCCAATTCTCATCAGGAAGCTCCTGGCACGCACACTGCAGAAACCACACGTGAAAGAAGCTTGTGACTAGGCTAAGATCTTATTCAGATGGCAAGCAATGTGTTACACTGCTCTGGCCAGTCCCTCTGCTTATGCCAAGGCTGCAATGGCAATAGTAAAGCATTAGCATATCACATTTCTAACCTACAGGACACCAAACAATACCAAAGATTACTAAGCATGGGTGCTGCTTAGTTTCCGTGGAACTCAATAAGTGCCCACACGGAGCTAAGACTAACCTGAACAAAATGGCTCTCTGCCACCCAGCACCACCATACAATTAGCACAGCATAATAACGGCTAAGACAGATTAAACAGCATGTGCCATGGCCCCGTTTTAAAGCGGTACAAAACACCAATCTTCTATGCTCTACTTCAATATCCTTCCTCAAGCAGGTTGGTCTTGATCGCAACTCCTCAGGTCTCTAAAATACAGATAAATGCCCTGACGAGGGTGGGATGGTGGGGAAAGGACGAGAGTATGTATAGCTAGGAGTATCTAAGACAGGCTTTCAAGCCTTTAAGCGCCCAGGAGCAACCAAGGCCAAATAGGATTTTTTTGGTTCCGTCAGTGCTACACGAAATTCAATTGTGCAACGCCAAGTGAATACACAGTATACTTTATGAAAAGCCTTCTCAACATGCTAAGCCACTTTATAAAATCTAATTAGAGCTTTCTTCATTTAACTTGCAAATGCTGAAAGCAATTATCCCACTTAAGGACTAACTTACAAAACGTTTTCAAAAAGCAACACAACAGCACCGAGAGACAACACTGCCTCCTTAGAATAATTGATTTGTTCCTATACAGGAGAGAAAGGATTGGGACTCAACTCCTTAGGGTAGGGTCTGCTCAAGTAAGTATTTATGCCAGAATCAGCATGCATCATCTTAGCAACAGCATCCTGGCATGCTCCGCTAAGGCACAAACATGATAGCTTTCATTTTTTGTTCTGTTTCTAAATAAGCATCCTACAAACCCGCTTTAATGCGAAAAGGACTGCGGGAAGCCAGTTCCACTCTCCATCCCACCCCCCAAACAAAAACTGGGGGAGCTTGGCTTCTTTTGGTTATCATAATCTTTTGCAAATAAAGGGTTTTCAGTTGCAAGAAAATCTGTTTTATTCAGACTGATCCAGATGAAAAACCTCAGGAGCAAGCCTGGGCCCTGTTCAAGAGTCAGGGAAATAAAAACAAAGAACAGCT